TCTATGTATAGTGTAAAATCCTTATGGCCAGCCAATGAAGGGCAATAACTGAAATCACGGAAACTCTACTCATAACACAGTCCACCTTTAAGATCACCTTGTAACTAGAAGGTAGTAAGGTTCCAAGAGATAATTTCCAGTACAAATTATATGCCATCTTCATCTGTCCCATGCTGCTGATAACAAGAGGTTGAAATGTCCCCCTCATCCTTTCAGTACTTCAACTCCACTGTTTCTTATATATTCAGGAATAGCTTGAGATAGATCATTCATTTCATTTTATTGTTTTCTGGATTCACTGAGGCAGAATAGACGTTGCTAAGTAGAAGGTGGCCTTGCTGAGAGACAGCCAAAGCTTGAACTCTGATTGCTCTGATTCTGATCCTGAGTGTTGAGACTTTGGCTCACCGGGATAGAAGCAAATATCTCAGGGAGGGATGGTCTCATCTCCTCCTATCCCACCTTTTCATGTTTTACTCACTGAAAGAGGCTCCCAGTCAAATGGAACAAGACCCTTCTAAAGTCACCTCACTCAAATCCACCTTGTTTGGTTAGTTCTGTTCTACTTCAAAATCACAAATATATTTGATATATTCTTTTATTAGGACCTAAACCTTGCACTTCAAATTTCATACTTAAGTACATCTAGCAATTACTTATGTGATGTAAGGTAGACTTCTAACAAAATTTTCTCTCCAAAGGAAGCTAATTTTTGAACATTAATCAATTTGCAACCTAAACTATACAATCTGTCATTTCGCCAGTCTTTGTGCCACATCTATAGTGAGGGTCATTATATGTCTCTCTACCTCTCTGATTCATCCATCTTTTTTTTCACAGCACCATTCTATTATCATTTCTAGTCCACTTATAGTATGTCTGATTTGCTCAGTCGTCCATCTTTTCTTTTTATTAAAATGGACTTACTTTGGGATATAGAGTATTTGAATAGGTTTTTCAAATTTGTCATAAAATCCAGCGCTAATATTCATTAACTATAGATAAATGTATAAATTAATTTGCATATTATATTAAGCTATCTCATCTAAGAATAGGAAATGTCTCTATTCTGATCCTTCTTGTCTTTGTAGAGAGTTTTAACATTTTCTGTACATAGGTCTTGTATATACTTTATTAACTCTTAAATGCTTTCTGATTTTATTGCTGTTCTTATAAATTAATTGATTAAATGATATAGTGTAATATTATTGAATATTGAATATATATTAGAGAGAGAATGAACATGAGTGGGGGAGAAGGGCAGGAAGGATTGGGGGGGAGAGAGAGAGAGAGAGAGAGAGGAAGAAAGAGAGAATCTTAAACAGGCTCCTGTCAGCCAATTGGTGTGGGGCATGGTACAGGGCTCAGTCCTACAATCCTGGGATCATGACCAGGGCCAAAATCAAGAGTTAGATGCTCAACCGACTGAGCCACACAGGCACCTTATACTTCTGAATATTTAAGTTGATTTTGTGTTTGGCAACTTTGCTACTCTCCCATATTTGGTCCTAATATATTTTCATTGGGGGGGGGGGGCGCCTGGGTGGCTTAGTCGGTTAAGCGTCCGACTTTCGCTTAGGTCATGATCTCGCGGTTCGTGGGTTCGAGCTCCGCGTCGGGCTCTGTGCTGACTGCCAGCTCAGAGCCTGGAGCCTGTTTCAGTCTGTGACTCCCTCTCTCTCTGACCCTCCCCTGCTCACGCTGTCTCTCTCTCTCCTAGAAATAAATAAAACATTTTAAAAAAAATATTTTCATTTGGGAAATTACATTCTGTGTCTATGGGATTATTTTTTGTTTTTCTAGTTTTTTGCACTCTGCATTGTTTATTTGTAATTCTCCTCCCAATAATTTTATAAAATCAGTTTTTCAATAGATCTGATTCATTTTTTTTCAATTATCCAGTATTTGGTTGTGCCAGCATTCTATATATATTTTTCCTGTTATTGTTAATCTTTGCTATATTTCTCATTTTATTTTTATTAGTTTCTTTTCTCATTTCTTTGGATTTTAGCTATTTCTCCTTTCCCAACACCTTAAGTTTGGTATTAATATGGCTGTTACTTGATATCAGGGTTTCTCAGCCTCAGCACTATTGACATTTTGAGCTGTATTAATTCTTTCTTGTGTTTCTGAGGACTTCTTTTGTGCACTGGGAGTGTTTAGCAGCATTCCTAGCCTCTACCCACTAGCTGCCAACAGTAATCCCCTCCCATTCATAATAATCAAATGTGTGTACAAACATTGCCAAGTGTCTCCTGTGGTGGGAAGGAATTATATGCTGTTGAAGACCACTGGAAACTGACCAAAAGTGTATAAAAATTGAGAAGTGTTTATTCAAGAAAAACTACTAAAGCTCAGATAAGAGCAGAGACAGTCAGTCATGATTCAGTTCTGGGGTGCTCCCTTATGTTCCAGCTCCATCAATGCTGTACTTTGACCAGGGTGGGCAAGCCATGAAAGCAAGCAACTTCACTGTTAAGGGAGGTGATCTGATTTGGAGTAGAAAGTAGAAAAACTTCATGACCCAGAGAGTTATCTAAAACAAGATTAATTTCAGTAGAAAGTGGAAGGAAGGCCAGTGTCACAGCTGGCCTGAGGTTGCAAAATTGATTAAGGCAAACAACTAAGGAGCCAGCTAACAGGAGATTCAACAGGAGACCTTGGGAATGAGATAGCCATAATGGACCTTGATTGGCTATCTGAAAGGCATGTATAAGTCTGTATATATGTTCAGAAAACACCCTAGTTGTCTATACATCCTTGGCTAAGTGAGAATTATTATACCTGGGTAAAAGAGACAAGAATAGGGACAGCAGATATTAAAAGCTGAATTAGGATTAACAGTTGCCTGAAGTTATGTGTGTTTCCCAGTGAACACACAGATCCAGTGGCTAAAGGAGGAAAACTTACTGGCTCAACCTTCCTGAGCACAAACTCTGATCAATCATGCTGACACAGGGCTGATCCCTAGGAAGCCAGCATTAAAATAAAAACAAAAATTGAAAAGAGAAAACAAAACAAAAACGGAGTCATCAGTAGGCATGTAGCACAGGAGAGAAAGGCTCTAGGCGATAAATGTGGGCAAGTTACTAAACAAACACAGGAACAACTATAACCACTGTGAGTTGATCCAAATCCAAAGTTCTTATGATAATTGTATTATAATATCCAGTTCTCAACAAAAAACTAGCAGACATGCAGAGGAAGAGCAAATTGCGGCACATGCTTTCAGAAAAATAGTCTTGGATGTGGTAGAGATGTTATTAAATTATCTGATGAGCTCCAGATGTTGAACTTAGCAGAAAAAGACTTCACAACAGCTATTTTAAACATGTCAAAAGAACTAAAGTTAAGTATGTTTAAAGAATAAAGGAAAGCATAACAACAATGACTCTTCAATTAGAAAATGCCAATTAAAAACAGAGAAATTATAAAAGGAGAACCAAATGGAAATTCTGAAGTTAAAAGGAACATTAACCAAAACAAATAAACAAAAAAATACACTTAAGAAACTCAAGAGAATGGCATTATTCGTAACATCCAAAGAATCAAAACAATCTAAATGTCTATCAACTGGCAAATGGCTAAACAATATGTGATATGCCCACACAAAGGCATAGTACTAAGCAACAAAATGGAATACAGTAGTCATGCAGTTCATACGAGTGCAATTCAAAAATATTATGTGAAGTGAAACAGGCCAAATGCAAAGGACTATATATTGTATGATTTCTTTTATATGAACTATCCACACAGTAAGATTAGTTGTTTAGAGCTAGGGGAAAAATTCAGAATTGACTATAAATGGGCATGAAGCTTCTTTGTTAGGTAATAAAAATCTTCTACAATTGGATGGATTTAGTAAAATCATTAAAAGGTTATTTAAAATGAATGAAATAGGTTGTGTGTAAGGTACCTCCCCATAAAGCTGTTAAAAACATTATTATGCATATTTCATATAAAATGTAAATAAGACTTTAATGGATCAAATTCATTACATTTTTCTTGCAAATAATAAGAGTTGTCACAGTATTATTAATGATTCTATATTTAGCTTTTATTGTGTACCATTATTTGGGGCTTTTAAAATGTATAATCACTTTATTTCTAACAATGAGAAAAAATAATACCATAATGATACAGATAAATAAATGGACACTTGGAAAAAATATTGCTAAAGGACCCTTACTCAGGTAGCTTAATTTCCTAAATTCATGGATTCAATCAATGGCTTTTATAATCTATTAGAGCAGTGTGTATGTGTACAGGCACATGAGAGAAGTATAACATGGCATGAGATTAATATTGAACAGCATATGTTAAATGGAAAAATGTGATGTTGTACATAATATATTTTAAGAATTCATAATTACCAAGCAATATATAAGTATGTAAATCACTACTAAAAATATTAATCCTTAGGGATTAAAATTACAATAACTATTTTAATTGCTAAATGATATTTTACTTTTCGTCTAAGGTTTTTCAAGAAAGTAAGTTAGCCTTTTGAGTTATTAACCACTTGAGAATCATAATAGCATTTTTGTTAGACATCAGACCTAAGCATAAATTTTAAAATAATGTCTATATGTAAAAACCTAATAGGCTATAATATTTTAATACATATCTCAAAATAAGATAAAATTTGATATATCATCTTCATATTTTAATTAATGTGGCGCTTCAGTCTATATTCTAAAACATAACTTCCTTAAAAACTATTCTACCCTTTATTTTAGTAACCCACATAGTCAAATCAATTGAAAAAGAAAGTTTCTTTCTTTTGTTTAACACATGAAAAATTTATGTGTTGCTGATTCTCTGACTTTGAATAAATTCATAAGCTTTATTATGTAGCCCATTAAAAGAGGTGTTTTGCTGACACAGAGATAAAATAAATTATTTATAATCAGTAAATCTTCACAGTGTAAGAGTTTACACACAGTGATTATTCTGGTCTGGTAAAAAAAAAAAAAAGAACATTTAGCACAAAATCTTACCACGCCAATGGAAAAGTAATTATTGATGATACTGTAAGGCACTGGGTCTCCCTTCTCATCTTTGTCATTAGGTATGACTTCAAACTTCCACCTGTCCAACATGATTTCTGTGCTGTTTTCAATGTCTTTTAGGATTTTCATCAGATTCTCACCTTCATAACCTAATGAAAAAAAATTATCTTCAGAAAAAATATAACCAAATAACAAAAGATATATTTATGTGTGTCTGAGTGTGTATATGTGGATGCATCACTCTAAAGCCAAACAATGCATTTTAAAGCAAAGTCTAACACAAGGTAAATAATTAACTATAATCATTAAGCTCAAACAAATATATTTTTTTAGCTTTTAAATTTTTTAAAAAATCTTTATTCATTTTTGAGAGACAGAGACAGAACGTGAGTGGGGAAGGGGCAAAGAGAGAGGGAGACACAGAATTTGAAGCAGTCTCCAGACTCTCAGCTGTCAGCACAGATCCCAATGCAGAGTTCAACCTCATAGACCATGAGATCATGACCTGAGCTGAAGTTGGACATCTAATCGACTGAGCCATGCAGGAGCCCCTTTGTCTTTAGCTTTAATTTGCAACTCACATTCTTCTCCTGAAATGCCAATTTTCAGTATAAGTCCAATGACAAATGAAGAGTTCCACTGCATAGCCCCACAAAACTTTATCAATGTGTTCAGAATGAAATTAATGCCTGCTTTAACTCTGAGACAGGCAACAGCCTTCATCCAGTTGTTGAAGTAAATACCTTGGATGCAAATTTAGACTTGACCCTTTCCAACCCTTCTTTATCCTCACATTTTGCTCTCCATTGATATGAAACAACTTTAAGTTTAAGTAGAAGTCCTTCTCTTCCTCATTTTGTGCGCTATCTTTCCTTATTCTATATACCCAGAGTATACCTTTTCTTGTGGTTGCCTTGCTTCTACTCCTCCTGGAGGTTTTATATTTGATAGCACTTCTTTCCAGAAGCCACCCTCCCAAAATAAATGGCTTCCATACAGTGACCACAGCACACAGTTCTCCAAACTAGCTACACTTTAGAACCACTACACTGCATTATAGTTATTTGCATTGTTCTCACTACATGTGTCTTTTACCAGGTCTGCCCTAGAGTAAATGCTCAACAAGTCTTGTCGTAATGAGTCCCTGCAGATAATCAACATGGCCTGAAACCAAACTTATTGCTTAACATGATATTTTCTCTTGAATGTATCTGTATCTATATAACCATATAGTTCAGACAGCCTAACCCTGGTTGTGTTATTTAATGTTTGCTGTTAACCTCCCTAAATGGCATCCTCTTACTAAGTAAACACTTAGATTTATTGTGAGAATTAAATGAGAAAATGCATAAAAGGTCTTAGTACTTGAGGCGTAAGAATAGGAATTTCTGAACCGTATACTATTACTAATGATGATAGAATTTGAAATATTGTACTAAGTAGAATAATATCTCCTCTCTAACTCTGTACACACACACACACACTCACACACTCACACACACATATTCTTGAAATTATATTTTAAATTGAAACAAGATTTTCATAGTTTTTTTTCCTATGTCCAACTTTGGTCTATATTTTATTAATAAAATCATTGAACAAGTAACTGCCAGAGGCTATGAGGTCTCATTAGAGGTGTTAGCAAACATAACATTGGAAATTAATTGGATTAAAAGAAAAAAAGAATAGACAGTGTATTAAAAGTATCAAATATTATTTTAATAGATGTTACATTATATTTTTGTGGTATAATTCCAAAACTTTGAATATACATAATAATTTGCATAGAATTGTACTGAGACATTTGGCAGGCTCCCACAAGGTGCAGATGATAATGAGAGCCAAGGGTCTCTGGTCAGTCTACCTCAGGATGGGGACTTCAAGGAATATTCCAAAGCAACTGCCAAAACCCCTTTTGTTTCAGGGAACCTCCCTATATTCTTGGGCCCAACATGGACTGCTCATTTCCACTTGCTGGTGGGAGGAAAACAAACAAACAAACAAACAAAACATCTGCATCTGTTCATCTGGTGGAGCTGACAGGCTTTAGGACCAGGAGATCTCTTTTTTGTCTGCCCTCTGGGCTTTTATCTGCCTCCAGGCTTCATGGTCAAACCTCACCTCTTCAGCCCCTTGCCCTCCCTCTGCCTGTTTCTGCACCACCTTGGGTGCAGCCTACAAACTGGTTCCTAGACCATCCTCAGTGCCTCAGGCACCACTGGCTCCTCCTCCCACCCTCTGGTCGAGGAGCAGCAACAAGCCACTGGCTACAGTTTTCTCCACCGGTGTCCCGGGTTAAAAGTAACAAAGAGGAACAAACTGGTTGACTTTAAATGGACACAGATGGAACATATTTGGTATTTTTTTTTTAAATTAAGTTTGTTGTTTTAATTAAAATAGACATGTCTTCAGAGTCATCAACATTAAATATATGAAAAATTTTCTACTGAGGTTTACTAAAGGTCAAATAAGCTCATGCTATCTCTGCTCCAATTTATTAACAAAAAGATGACTTAAAATGATGGCTAATTTTGTCTGTTTCAAAGTTTTATTGTTTTTTTTTAATTTTTAAAAATGTTTTATTTATTTCTGAGAGAGGGAGAGAGACGGCATGAGCAGGGGAGGGTCAGAGAGAGAGATGGAGAAATAGAATCTGAAGCAGTCTCCAGGCTCCAGAGCCTGATGCGGGGCTTGAACCCACGAACCGTGAGATCATGACCTGAGCCGAATTCAGATGCTTAACTGACTGAGCCACCCAGGTGCCCCCAAAGTTTTATTGTTAAAATAGCTTTCAGAATCTTTGATAACCTGAACCTTTGAAGTTTTGCTTGGATGATAAACTGGGTTAAATTCATTGGACATTTAGGACTTTTCCAAATGCAATGGAATGCTAAAGCATTGTTGACTAAACACAGGTTTATGCTTTTGACTTTTTTAAAATGTTTATTTATTTTTGAAATAGAGAGACAGAGCTTGAGCAGGGAGCCTCAAAGAGAGAGAAAGACACAGAATCTGACACAGGCTCCAGGCTTTCAGCTATCAGTAGAGATGCGGGACTCAAACCCATGAACCATGAGATCATTGATCTGAGCCGAAGTCTGACATCCAACTGAGTGAACCACCCGGGTGCCCCTATGCTTTTGACTTATAGGAGAAAAACTAAGTATATTTGGGTCTGCTGGAAAACATGCTTTGTGTTTAATTGATTCATAAGTTTGCCATCTAAGGAATTCTGATATAACAGACAGTTAACAATTGGCTACTACTTAGTTTTCACTGGAGACTAAGGTTTCTAAGAGTTAAAATTCTGCTAAATGGAGTTAAGACTGCTGAAAATATGGAAAGCAAATATGTATGTAGAAAAGTAAATATGTAACAAAGTTATAAGGAATGGAAATACATTTTTGTTGAAGGTGAAAAAAAAAAGTAATTTTTGTCCAAAATAAGATAACCTAAATAAGACTGATCGTTTGGAGAGAAATGGCTTTGGGCAAAATTTAAATGCAAAGGAAAGTTTTAGGAGGTTCATTCAGGGAAATCTTTGGAAAGGAATTTTATGTGTGGTCAGGGCAGACTAAGGTTAAAATGAAGGGATTTTGTAAGTACACTGGTATAAGATTAAAATTCCCCCTCTTCTGAGCCAAAGGCTAGGAAAATGGTGGCAATACCTTCGCTGCTGGCCTCCAAATGCATTATAGTTGTGTTTCTGCAACGCAAATGAATGGATGTCTATGCTGTATGAGGGATGGATGACTATGATATATGAAGGGGACTTTTACTGATACACATGGGAACCATTTAGCTAAATTTAACCCAGTATCTGCCAAAAACCTAGATATTGTAATATGAATACCCACATGGCTGGAACATATTTATGTGGGCATTGATGAAAAAGGCAGGGGTATAGATCTCAATTTTGACCCTTTCAGCACCCTCAACAGCCAATTTTATCTTTACAAAAAATGGTTTTCACCAGCCTATTGAAATGTATTGGTAAAGAGGAACAGTTTTTATTATGATCAATACATAAATTACTGTCCAGCTGAAGATAAAATTAGCACATCCTTCTACATCCAGGGGAGTCTTACTTGGTCACAGATGATACCTCCAAAGCCCCACAGGTGAGAACTGGAGGGGTATGAGGAATCAGGAAGACAAGGTCAGCTCATGGAGGTAAGGTCAAGTGTAGGTAAGAGCAGCTACTCCCAGCACCTCACAAAATTGACAGGGCTTTTGGCTGCCAGTAGCACAGCCAGGCCACCTGCAGGGGTTAGGAGATAAGGTGTCTCCTGGTCAGCTGTAAGAAATTGAGATAGGGGATGCCTATTCTTCCTTTTTCCTAAAGATGGTCAATTCCCTAGCCAAGGTCAATCCTCCTTTGGGATGCATTATGAAAAATTGGGATGATTTTGATCCACAAACCCTGAAGAAAAAGTGACTCATTTTCTTTCCCACCAAGGCTTGCCTCCAATATAAACTGGAGAAGGAAAATGGGCCACCAGAGGAAAATATCAATTATGATACTATCCTACAATTGGACTGTTTTACAAATGTGAGGGGGGATTGAGAAGAAGTCACCTATGTTCAGTGTTTTGGGGGCCCTAAGAGAGAATCGAGCTATGTATAAGGTCCATTTTGGCTTGTTGGCAACCCTTTCCAAGAGGTGAAAACCAAGAACCCTTGCCTGTACCCAAAGCAGACCTAGAGAAAGGGGAAGGGAAGTCTTCCATCTCAGCCTCCTCCTCCTGAGGTCCTCAATTTGTACATCCAGACCTAAAATCTGTGCACCTCTGCACCCTACTGCCCTACTCATCCAGGCCTTCCCCATAATGCAACAGGCATGTTTCCACTACCAGAAGCTAAAGTGCCAGAAGGGAAAACACAAGGAGGCACAAGTACTTTTTTATTACAAGATTTAAGACAGATAAAGGGAGATCTAGGTTAATTTTCTGACGATCCAAATAAGCATACAGAGGCTTTTTAGAATATTCTGGAAAGATATAATGCTTGTTGAATCAGACCCTTAATGAGACAAAGAAACGTAGGGTTCTAGCAGCAGCTGAGAGATATGGGGACAAGCAGCTCAATTATCATGGGCTTGGAGGTCCTATAGGGAAGTGGAAGGGACCAGCCAGTCCTGCCCCAAGAT